GTTTTTTCTCTGGCCAGAAGTTCGATGGCAAATCCTCCCTCTTCAAGTTGGCGATCCAACGACCAACCCGTCCGTGACGTCACTGCCGGAAGATGGCCGCTCCCAGACTCAGTGATCACGATAAAAAATCATTATTATTTTTTTTTTACACTAAATTCATTAAATCACCATGAAATAATTAGTTTTACGTATAAATAATGATCTATTGATTAACACAAATAGATTAAATCCATAAAACATTTGCATTTTGTAAAGGAGAACATCATCAGCATACGGTTCAATCACCCTGTAGATTATTACCTCATAGATTAATGTTTCCAAGCCTTTAATTCTCTTCATTCTGGTGGATTTCTGTCAGTTTCAAGACATTTATGATGTAAAACTTTATCAGACCGAAAAATGAATATGAGTCCAGAATTGGGGGCTTCATAAAAATCTGGTTTATTACCTGCAGAGGGACCGACTCCAGACCCCCACAGCTGCTCTTCTTTGACTGTCCTGTTCTGCTCTGAAGTCACACATCAGTTCTACGTCATGATATTGATCAGAACTAGAAACACGGATCTATACCTGCAAACAGGTTTGCTGTTTACACTAAGAGGTGGTTAAAACCAATGAGGTTCCAGCATCGGATAAAAGGTCACCTTTTCCAACATCAGCTGACGTTGCTTTACTTATTTGAGCCGCTTTAAAAACACCTTTAAAGCTCTAAATCCTTCTAAAATTTGACCTTTGACCTCTGAGGGCCCTTTATTTGACCTCTGAGGGCCCTTTATTTGTCTTCTCAGAAGGAAACCATGAAACCATCAGATGGAAACCATTTTCGGATTAAAGTTTAAACAAATTTATTTAATGTTGATTTATTTTTAATCAGTTTATCATTGTATCTTTATTATATATTTTTCTTACATTTTCCTTAATTAAAAAGAAAGAAGGTACGGGTTTTAATTAATAGTCAGAAAACAAAAATATGAAAGTATAGAAACAAAATTCACTTCATTAAACCCTTCAGAAATAAAACAAAAAAATGAATTTTGGCGAGATTGTTTCCATCTAGAACTTCCTCTTAAGATGCTTTTTATAGAAGAATCAAAGAGCTCAACTGGGACATAATGATGAAAGAAAAACAGGAAATCTGATTCTCAGTTTGGTTTTATTGTTTTTTTGGACACTTAGCAAAAAGTTACTGCAGAAACATCCAGAGCAGTTTGAGAGCAAAACACACAGAAACACAAGAAGTGAGCAATAAATAAAGGAGAAGGTGATTGCAGAAGCGGCTGATGACATTACTGATTGTTTTAGAGACACTTGAACACATCACAGCCCCAAGACAACTCAACTGATTACAGCAATAAATAATTAATAAATAGAGTAATAAATAAAAGTGATGTTTTAAGGCGGTTTGACAGCAGAAGGCGGCTCTAAGTGAAGAAGCGGTACAGCTACTCTATCCTCTGCCTGCTGCAGCTACTGATCCAGTCCTATTAAAGCTACAGTGATGGGAACAGGCCTGTCCAGAACCAGACCGGGTCGATTTGGACCGGACCTCTCTTAGGTCTACCAGCTAATAGCACTTGTGCAGATTCTAAAGTTTCCCCCAATCGGAGGAAAGTGCCCATGAGCAAGGCACCCTGTCCCAGCAGCTCTGAGTTTCCTCTCAGAGAAAAGCTGCAAAAAAACATAAAAAGGCAAAATTTCGGAAAAGTGGGAAAAATTCCCGGCCTCAGCAGGCGGGGCGCAGCGGCACCTGCAGCAGGATCACCTGGCGGCTCTCGGACGGGTGGCACTTGTTGATGTGTCGGGTGAGTCCCGGCGAGCTGTGGAACAGGGCGGGGCAGTATTTGCAGGGAAACACCTGGGCGGAGTGCAGCAGGCGGAGGTGGCGCTCCTGGCCGCCTCTGCTGCTGAAGCTTTCCCCGCACACGGGACACGCGTGTCCGGTGGACGCGCTGAGGTTGAGCGGGCCCGCGCTGATCCCGCAGCCTTGCGGCTCCTTGTGGTCCTGCTGCGGCTCTGCGGGTTTCTGGTGAGACGCCAGGTGCTTCCTCAGGTACGCCTGGCGCTTGAACCTTTTCCCGCACTGAGGGCAGTCATACAGTCCGTCCTCCGAACCGGACTCGGACGGTTCGGGGCTGGATGAGTCTCTGTCGCTGCAGTCCTTGCCGGATGCCGCCGGCTCGCTGTGCGCTCCGCTCTGCGGCCTGGGTTTGTGCCACCGCCGGTGGGAGGCCAGGTTGGCCGGGCAGCTGAACACCTTGTCGCACTCGGGACAGCGGTACTCGACCCGAACTATCCTGGAGCATTTGTGCTGCGCCAGGGAGAACGGGTCCTGGTAGGATTCGCGGCACAGCTGGCAGACAAACCCATCCAGGAGGGGGCGCTCACCGCCGGTCGGCTTCTGCTCCAGCGGAGCCTCCTTGATCTTCAGCCCCAGGACCGGGGACGTGGTGACGTCGTCCTCAAAGTGCAGTTTCCGGATGGCTTTGGTCTTCTTGGAGGGGGGCGCCTTGGCTCTTCGCTCCGCGTCACCCGCCGGCCGCTTGGCCCCTGCCGTGGGGAGAGCTCCGGAACCGGTCTTCAGATCGATGGGGGCGAACAGGTGGTCCAGCGCGGGGAGAGCAGCCGGCGTGGGGAAGGACTCTGCGGAGACCGGGGAGCCGAGGCTGAAGCGCCGCTCCGAGGCGCGCTCATGGTCCTGACTGACGGGTCGGGTGGGGCTGTAGAGAGCCTGGCACACCGTCTCTGGATTCCCGAACTGCACCGGCTGGGCGGCTGGATGTGATGCCGGAGCAGCGGGCGCCGCTCCGCCGGTCTGAGCGCGCGGGGGGATGAAGGAAAGGCGCGGCGGAGGCGCATCGGCGGCCGCGCGCTCCGCCTCCTCCTCGGAGCGGACCCGGTAGGACACCGGGGTGGTTCTCCTGCTCCTCTTCACCAGGAAGCCTCTGGGCATGTTCGGTCCGGACGGGAAGATGGAGGCGCTTCAGGTTCGCTGCGGGAATCAAATAAGAGCTGCGCGTAAAAGCCAAACATCGGCGGCGCGTTTCCGCTCCTTCCTCCGGTTCTGATCCACTGTTGTTCTCAGATCAACATAGCTGCACTGTTTTTAAGTCCACATGATGACACCGCTCCCAACCTCCCCACCGACCAATCAGGAGCGGCCCTGATCCCCGTGGATTTGGGGAGTGGGTGTGGGAGGGGGGGTGTTTGCAGATTGGAAAGCAGATGTACCTGAGGGGTTTTATTAGCCCCCCCTCCCCCCTACGACACACGCCAGCAGCCTCCTGCTTTCACGGTCTGATGACTTTCTATAGAATCCACGCGTGTCCTGCTCCGGGTGGGTTCCCGTTAAACTTTGGATTCAAACTGAGCAGAAATGTCTTTAAAATCAAATCAGCTTTATTCAGAAAATGTTTCATTCTGCATCAAACTCCAGGATCGATGAGGGCGTTTCACAAACCGAACCCTGAGCTGGACCCACTGGCCCCTCGGCGGAGGGGCCCCGCAGCCCGGGGGCCGCGCTGACAGTTAACTCCGTCTTTCAAACATACATAATTAACGAGCAGAGGAGGGAACCTGCTTTGCATCACAATGGAAGCTGAGCTGCAGCTCCTCCTGATTGAAGGAAATTGCACAGTTG